ATTTGCCACAAACTGGCTCAATTGTTGGACTGCAAAAGCTATATCTGGGCGCGTATTAGTAAGGTAAAGAAGTCGTCCCACTAAACGACGGTATTTTGCTGGTTCTGGAAAAACAACACCCTCATTTTGACGAAGACAAAGGCCAGCCTCCATAGGAGTTGAAATTGGTTTTGCACCACTTAGACCACTGTCATTAAGTAACTCAAGAACATACTTTCGCTGGTTAAGTATTAAACCACGACTGGAACGTGCCACTTCAAACCCAAGAAAGAACCTTAATGGACCAAGGTCTTTTATTTTGAATAGATTATCCAAGTGACTTTTAACCAACCTTATTTCATCCATATCACTTCCTGCCAAGACCATATTGTCAACATAAACAAGAAGAGTAGTGAAAGACTCTCCACTGGCCTTGGTGAAAAGTGAATGATCAGAGGAAGGCTGAGTGTATCCGAGGGAGCAAAGTTTAGTGGATAATCTAGTATTCCATTGTCTACTGGCTTGTTTGAGCCCATATAGTGACTTCTTCAATTTACACACTTTCTGAGCATCATCAATGGAAAACCCCTTCTGGAAGGTCATATAGACCTCCTCGGACAAGTCACCGTGCAAGAATGCATTGTTATAGTCCAGTTGCTCAAGGAACCAATTATGTGTTGTGGCAATGGCAAACAACAATCTGATTGTAGTAAACTTTGCAACTGGTGAAAAATTCTCAAAGTAGTCCACGCCTTCCATCTGGTTGTATCCTTTTGCTACTAATCGAGCTTTGTAGCGAGCTATGGTGCCATCTGGGTTATGTTTAATTTTATAGACCCATTTGGACCCAATTGGATGCTTACCCTTTGGCAGATCAGTTAATTCCCATGTGTTGTTGGTGTTCAAGGCCTCTATCTCTTCATTCATAGCAGTTACCCATTCTGGAAACTATGCTTCTTGTTTGTAAGTGGTTGGCTCAACAAATGAACTAATGTTATGACAGAATGATGTGTACTCCAATGAACAGTTTTTGTAAGACATCACAGAAGACAAAGGATGAGCAATGGAAGCATTAGGTGCAATATTAGTGGTAGAAAGATTACAATAAAAATCTGATAAATGCTTGGGTGGTGGTCTTACCCGTGATGAACGTCTGAGTATTTGATTGGAATCAGGAACATCATGACAGTGAAAGTCAGCACCAATATCATTTACTGTGGTGGGTGGTGCATTTACAGTAGAACCTTGTATCTCATGTGTGTGTTGCTGTGAAAAATCATCATCAAAGGAAGAGCTAGCTTCATTTCCTACATGTGGATAAGGAAATTCAGAATATCAGATCTGCAAGATGACATATATCGAATGCATCAAGGAGATAGTTCAATCTCAGATTATTTCACTCAGCTTAAAATCCTTTGGAATGTGTTGGAAGCATTGCAACCAACACCTACATGCAAATGTGTGCATCCGTGTTGTTCTATTGCATTGAAGGTAAAGAACATTAGAGAAAGGGATTATTCCATTAGGTTACTTAAAGGCCTCAATGAACAGTTTTCTCATTTGAGATCCCAGATCATGCTTATGGATCCACTCCCTTCAATTAATCGAGTTTTTTCTCTTACTGTTCAACAAGAGAGACAACTACATATGGAAGCTGTTATCCCTAATCAAGATGCCTCAAATGTACTCATGAATTCTACTGATCGAGTTCTTGATAGGGGATATTTGCAACTTCGTGGCAGAGGACGTGGTTTCTCTGGTGGACGTGGCAGAGTATCAAGACTTTGCACTTATCGTGGCAAGACTAACCACACTGTGAAAACATGCTTCGAAAAGCATTGATATCCACCTAGTTACAAGCAAAGAAATGTTGGAGCTAATGCAGCTATGAGTGAAACTTCTGATCAGATTAGTGACACTGCACAGGTTGAAACGAAAGAGAACTTCACCAAAAACCAGTATCAGACTATAATGGAAATGATTCAACAGTCATTGTAGTTACAACAAAACCAGGCTCTGACACCGTAATAGAATACGAGAGAGAATGAAGTATAAACATGAATTTCATATTTCAGAAAAGAGAGAAATGAATCGATTAGTTACATTACTTGAACAGCTACCTCAGCTAATATAGTAGTCTGAATCAAGTGAGAAAAAGAAAACCACAAAAGCTAACTTATATGCAGTACTAATAAAAAATAACCGACTAACAAATTCAGAACTGACTCACTAACAAACTATATACAATACACGTGGATAAGGAAAAGGCCTCTTCAGAATACACGTGGATATAACAAAGACTCTCTTCACGTGGATATCAGAGCCTGGTTTTGTTGTAACTGCAATGACTGTTGAATCATCTCCATTATAGTCTAATACTGGTTTTTGGTAAAGTTCTCTTTCGTCTCAACCTTTGCAGTGTCACCAATCTGATCAGAAGTTTCACTCGTAGCTGCATTAGCCTTGTGTCCAATATTTCTTTGCTTGTAACCAGGTGGATATCCATGCTTTTCAAAGCATGTTTCCACAGTGTGGCTGGTCTTGCCATAATAAATGCAAAGTCTTGATACTCTGCCACGTCCACCAGAGAAACCACATCCTCTGCCACAAAGTTGCAAATGTCCCCTATCAAGAACTCGTTTAGTAGAATTCACGAATACCTTTGAGGCATCTTGATTAGGGATAACAACTTCCATCTGTAGTTGTCTCTCTTGTTGAACAACAAGAGAAAAAACTCGATTAATTGAAGGGAGTGGATCCATAAGCATGATCCGGGATCTCACATGAGAAAACTGTTCATTGAGGCCTTTAAGGAACCTAATGGAATAATCCCTTCCTCTAATGTTCTTTACCTCCAATGCAATAGAACAACACGGATGAACACATTTGCATGTAGGTGTTGGTTGCAATGCTTCCAACTCATCCCAAAGGATTTTAAGCTGAGTGAAATAATCTGAGATTGAACTATCTCCTTGATGCATGCGATATATGTCATCTTGCAGATCTGATATTCTGAATATATCAGATTGCGAGAATCTCTCCTTTAAATCTCTCCACACGTCATATGCTCTCTCCATCCACAATATCGATTGAGAGATGGAGCTTGTGATTGATCGATGCAACCATGACAGCACCATGGTATTGCATATCTCCCAACTTGGAAAACAAGGATCTGACGCATCTGGAGCCAAGATCTTCCCATTCACAAACGACAATTTGTTCTTTGAGACTAAGGCCATAATTGCCCTTGCCCAGCCGTGATAATTTTTCCCATTCATGGGAGTGGAAACCAACACGAGTTATGGATTTTCACTCGGATGAAGAAAATAAGTACTTCCTGGATCTAGTAGATCGATCTAGCTTGCACTGGTTCCTTTCATTCCATTGCATGTTCATGAAGAATCGTCATTAACAAGAGTAGCATCAGTTACAAGTAGGGGTGAAACTGGGTCGTCCCGGCCTACAGGGGCCTACGGCTCGGCCTACGTCAGGCCAGACCTGACCTAGTATATTTCGTAAAATAGGCTGGGCTTGGGCATTGAAAAAGCCTGTTTAATAAAAAGGCCGTAGGCCCACTTTCACAAGGTCTGGCCTATAAGCCTACAGGTCGGCCTATATATTGTACTATTTATTTTAAATAAAATAAAATAGAATAAGTATGCCTTGAAGAAAAAAACAAAAGATATAAATTTAATCAATTGCAATTATTTATAACTTAATTATATTCGATTATATTTTAATAAAAATCTGACTTTATTTCTTATATAGGAGGAATCAACATCTCAAGATGTTAGATTATGTATATGAATATGTTAAAAGGTTTTTGGGAGAGGTTATACTTACTACAAGCATCATGATGTGTTTGTTGGATTCATGGAGTTATTTTAATTTACGTAATATGGATTTGTTTGTTAGATCTGATGAAATATATGTTATTTAGTTTGAGCATTTTGTTTTTGAAAATGACTTAAAGGCAGATTGTATGAGTTTTGTTGTGATTCATGATTCTGTTTGGACGTTGAAATTATGATTTTTGGTTTAGCAATAGAATTTGAGTATTTTGTAAAGTTGATTCATGGTTCTGCTTGGAAGTTAAAAATTATCAGGCTAACGGGCTAGGCCAGCCATTTGCTTTTTTATAAACGGGCCAAGTCAGGCTAACAGTTAGACTCATAATAGGCTTGGGCAAGGCCAAACTGAAATTTTTTGGCATAGGCTTGGGCTTTTCAGGGCAAAGCTTGGCCCAACCCCGTCCACTTTCACCCTAGTTACAGGCTCCATTGCATGTACAGAACTCTATTTTGCCGTTATTAATCAAGATCTCGAAGGAAAGGAAAAACAACTATCTCAAATGGAAGAACAGATCATAAGAAAATCAAAGAAAACGAAGGCGAATATCAGAGCTCCGTGAAGAGCTTTGATACCAAAATAGAATACGAGAGAGAATGAAGTATAAACTTGAACTTCATATTTCAGAAAAGAGAGAAATGAATCGATTAGTGACATTACTTGAACAGCTACCTCAGCTAATATAGTAGTCTAAATCAAGTGAGAAAAAGAAAATCAGAAAAGATAACTTATATTGAGTACTAATAAAAAGTAGCCGAGTAACAAATTCAGAACCGACTCGCTAACAAACTATATACAGTGCACGTGGATAAGGAAAAGGTCTCTTCAGAATACACGTGAATATAACAAAGACTCTCTTCAGTATGTATCTCTGCATTCAGTTCTAGAGCATTTTGGAATGTCTTATCCACTCATTATGTAGTCAGCAAAAGAACACAAAGACAAAAGTAGAACTAGATATTTTTCAAGAGAAAGAAAAGCACAAAATGATAAAAGGCTTTTAACGGAATATTCTTGTTCTACTGCAAAATGGTCCCGATGCCTCTTGTCTCTCGATCTATATAAATACTATAGCTACTGCATCCTTCAAGAATGCAGAGTAAACATAAATGACAAAGATTCAAGTTATGCTCTAAAATTAAATAACAAAGTGCATAATTAATTGTACTTACCACAATGGATAGTCGTAGGTTGTCAAGCTCTTTGATATAGGATGACTTCAACTTGTATCTTATCATCCATATAACAAGTAATGTTGATAAAAAAGATATAAGATCTAGCACGGTGATGATGTAACCCTCTATGAAGGTGCTACAAATTAATCTTGCTATTAAGAATAAAGCAGTGAGCTCTTGGGTCTTAAGTGATAAACCTGAAAATGGCAATATAAAGTTTTTCTTTAGACTCTACTATAGTATGCACTTAAAAAGTTAGAATACTTCAATTCATATAAATATCTATATTACTCGAAATAATGGCTAGTTCACAATGCTATAGTTATTGTAATATTATTTATGATAAGTTGCCATTTCATACATTGAGTACGGGAGCCAAAGAGCAATCTTAGTGAACACTAAATTCATCATGCACATATTTCACAACATATATTGATGACAAAAGGTTTTACACTATTAATACTTAAATTTACTTGAATAATATGTGGTCAGGCCTGCATTATTTTTTAACATGTGGTTTTCACTCTAAGATATAAAGTTTTTCTGATCGAGTCACAAGATATTAGAAATAACAAGGGGATTTCTTAATTCATATATTTTACAAAGTCATGATTAAAACTAGGGAAATGTTTTTCTTATGTTGTTGGAGATAGGTATCTTATGTTAGTGAAACAAAATTATAAGAGGGACCTACAAATAATTGAATGAGATAAATATAACCTTTAAAACTATCTTCACATTACTAAACTCGGTGCTTTTTCTGTAGGATCAACTCTAACTCTCCCCTTTATTATTTGTTGAACATGTATCCTCTCGAGCCTGGGACTTCAAGTACTTTTATGATACCTTGAAAGTTATAAGCTACAAACTATTGCTACTAGTTAAGCTAGTGAATACCAAATGATACTAGCTTAATTGGCGTTTGGGAACCGAGTAGGTGAGGGTGAGAGCATGTGTTCGATTTTCTCCAGTCTCATCTTTGAGAGGGTTTAAAGCCTTAATCCCGACTGTAACATCTTGGACACTGACGAGGGCGTGGAGTGATCGCCGGTGCGAAATGACATTGACAAGGAGCGGCTCCTGGCAGGCTTCCAGCGACGGGGTACATGAATGAATCGAATCAACATTCGAAAGAGAGGAATTCCAGAGACTGTGCTGGTATGCGACGGTACAGTTAAGAATAACTTATAAGAATTAATTTGTAATACCTATACTAACAAGATGCATCTATTTTTCGGTAGCCCGGAATAGAAGAACTCCATAGTCAAGCGTGCTTGACTTGGGGCAATTTTGGAATGGGTGACCTCATGGGAAGTTTACTTGAAAAGTGTGCGAGTGAGGAAAAAACACGCTGAAAAGTCTCGTGTTAGTGTGTGGGGACAGTCGTTGATCCTTGCAAGTTGCCAGGCGTTACAAGTGGTATCAGAGCAGGGTCTCTCTTCCAGTACGGTATGGTTCGAGGACGAACCAGGCAAAAGCTGGTGGGCATGTAACATCCCGGGCGCTAACAAGGGAAGAGAGTGATCGCTGGTGCAAAAAGGCATGGACAAGGAGCGGCTTCTGACAGGCTTCCAACGACGAGGGTACATGAATGAATCGAATCAACACCCGAAAAAGAGGGATTCCAGAGACTGTGCTGGTATGGGACGGTACAGTTGAGAATAACCTATAAGAATTAATTGGTACTATCTATACTAACAAGATGCATATACTTTTCGGTAGCTCGAAACGGAAGAACTCCATAGTTAAGCGCGCTTGACTTGGGACAATTTTGGGATGGGTGATCTCTTGGGAAGTTTTCCTAGGAAGTGTGCGAGTGAGGACAAAGCACGCTGAAAAGTCTCGTGTTAATGTGTGGGGACAGTCGTTGATCCTTGCAAGTTGCCAGGAGTTACACTAAGACCTGCCCCGAATCGAACTAGTTGCGATGCGATAAGAAATCATGTATTAGATATGATAAAATGAGACAATAGGATAAACTAATCATATTCTGTTGACCCACCAAACAAGAGATAAAAATAGGATATGATAAGTTATCCTATTTTATTTTCTTTATCAAATGTTCCAAACAGACCCTAACAGAATATGAAGAATGATGGGTTTCTCCATAATTATTTGAGACTAAGCATTAAAACTTTGTTGACTACATAATGCCACTGCAACCTTGGAACAATGCACGGTACAAGTTTTCATGCATGGGAAATTGTTTTTTTCTCAAGGCTCTATACAATGAAATATACTTGTCAAGGTTGTAGATTTTATTAATTAATTGGTGAATATTCTAGATCAGGAAAGTGAGGTCTCTTTGGAAATATAAAAATAGGGAAAGAAGAGATGGGTTAAGGCATGCACAGTCCACAAGTAAGAGAAAGAGAGCTTTCATTGAATCAAGAGTTTAAGAGATTATCATCATCCACAAAACGGAGGGGGTGATCCATCAAATTTGGTGAAAGAATATTTTTATAATCCATTTTATTTGTGGGTGAGGTGTTAAGTGCAATCATATAGTGTAATACAAGAAAGGAAAACACTATTATAATCCTACCATTACAATAACACAGGATTTTAACATTCAGTCTTGTGATTTTCCCTTCTTTTTTTAGGGATTTGTGCTAGATATGGGTAATTAGTATGTTATTAAGAAAGTAAGAAAAATTAGAGAGTGACTTGGAAGATTGTTATAGCTGATTTGGTTGTTATAGCTGATCGGTAATAGGATTTTATTGTTAGATTCTGTATGTGAGTGTGGGATACAAAATGTGTATTTGTCTGTTGAGATTTTTTTTTCTCTCCACAAAACACTTCTTTGTCAATTTTGAAAGAGAAATTACAGAGTCTTATATAGCCATATTCTCCCTCTTAAAACAGAAAAATGCTCAACAGACAAATACACATTTTGCATCACACACTTACATATTGAATCTAACAATAAAATCCTATTACCTATCAACTAAAACAACTAAATCAGCTATAACAACCTTCCAAGTCACTCCCTAATTTCCCTTACTTGCCTAATAACATACTAATTACCCATATGTATCAATTTGTCATGTAAAAATTTGTGTCATTGTCCTCATATTTGTATATTCTCTTTCCTATCTTAATCACACAGGGAAAATGGTTCACTGTTTGAAGGCATTGTGTTAAAGCGAGGTTTAAAGGCATTGTGTGACTTAGTACCTGTTTAAGAGCTCTTATTTTTAGCTACTTTTTTTCTTATAACCATAATTTTACAAAAGTTCTTATCATAAAAAGAACTTTGGTATATAATGAAAAAAAAAAAAAAAACTCCCAGAAGGAACTGTTTTCAAGATGTATGTCAACTTTTTGGAATTCCTATAATTATTTTTAAGTATACCCTCATTCTAAACACAAATTTATATATCCTAATAAGATGGAGACTATTGTCATCCATGATCATGATATGTTCAAAGTTCAAACACACTTTGGAGAACTATTCCTATTGAATGCGTAAGATTAAGGACCATCTATATTGCAAGAAGTTGTATGAGCCAATCACGAATATAGAGAAGCCCACGGAAAAAAGCGATAAATAGTGGGAACTCTTAAATTATAAGGCGGTTGCCATGATCTACAAATATATCAATAAAAGTTTATTCGAGCATGTGTCCAAATATACCAATACTTACGAATTATGGATGAAGCTAGAGTCAATGTTTCAAAAGGAGACGCCTTGTAATAACACTCACCTAGTGCAACAATTGGTGAAGCAAAGAGTATAAGGATGGTTTAAGTATGATCGAGCACTTGATCACTTTTAAGAAGCTCGTGAATCAAATGACAAGGTTGAGATAAAGATTGTTGATTAGTTGCAAACTCTTCTACTCCTTAATTCTTCAACAAAAATTTAGGACATAATGGTGGTTACTTTAAGTAATTCGGCCTCAGAAAGAAATTAGCTCGCCATAGATAAAGTAGTCGATAGCGTATTAAATAAAGAGGCTATGAGAAAAGAATGAGGCATGTCCGGGCAATTATGACAAGTTTTCAGGGCAGCCTAAATCTTGCTCCTAAGTAACTTACTATTGTAAAAAGTTTGGTGGAGGAAACTTGATTATAGAATCCTTAAAAGAGAAAATAGAAGGCCGACCATGTCAAGCCAGACCAAATAGACCCAAAGAAAAGGAAAAGAGCATTACGGCCACCACAACAAGTGAAGATGATGATGTCTTTGTAATTGAAAAAGACAACTATCTCAACGTTGCCTGTAATAATTATTTGTGAATCGTTGACTCATGTGCATTCCTCCATGTTACTCAATATAAAGGGTGTTTTTTTTCAACCTAACAATGTTGCAATTTTGGTACAATATGGGAAACCGTATCACCAACAAAATTGTCGTAAGTAGGTGAATAACTTTACTTATCGACAAGGGATATAGGTTAGTATTGAAGGAGGTGAGCCATGTTCTTATGCGTCTCAACTCTCAACCTTATCTCAATTGAGAAGCTAGATGACGCTGACTTGGTGAATTACTTTTGTATGGTCAAATGAAAACCTGCCAAAGGGGGAATATCCGAATATGGTCATCGCCCAAGGAAAGAAAGACGTTTCCTTGTGCATCATTAAAGAAAGAATACTCATAAGAAAGGCTATTGTTTCCCACGGTTACTCAAGCATAGAGTTATGACACAAAATGCTTGGTTACAAGAGAGAGAAGGGGTTGTAATTCCTCACCAAGAAAGAACTACAACTACTTAGAGCTCTGCACTCACTGCTTATAACCAGCAAACAATGCCAAAATAGTGTCATTCCAGAATCCAAATCGACCAAGAAAGAAAAAATATATTTCGGAAAGAAGTGTATTAGAGAATAATATAAACTAATAAAAAAACTTTTAACCAACATATTAAGGTTTTGGATTAAATTAGTTCTTTATATGGTATCAGAGTTTTAGTAACCATAAGTGGGGATGGCAAAACGGGCTCAGCCAGCCGGGCCGGGCCGGGCCGCCCCGCCCCGCCCGCCAAACGGGGCAGGCTGAGTTTCCAAACCCGCCGCCCGCTAGCTTGCCCGGGCTGAATTTTTTAATTTTTTTTTTCTTTCTTTAGTGTAAAATCTGACGGGCTTGGCGGGCCGCCGTCCAAACGGGGCGGGCGCGGGCTGAGTTTTCTTGCCCACTTTCACAGGCGGGGCGGGGCGGGCCAGCCCGCTTTGCCATCCCTAACCATAAGGTCACGAGTTCCATGCTCACTGCTTGCATTTGTGAAATTAAATAACCATAAGTCAAAAAAAAAGTTGAGCCTATACAATATCCATATATTTCAAGAGATGATGTCTTAGAAAATAATATAAACCATTAAAAAAGATCTTCATCTTCACCCAACACCTTATAGTTTTTGTTGAATTGGTTCTTTATAACTTTATCCACACAAATACATATTCTATAGAGAGAAATCCATCGAGGATATTAATTCGCCTAATCTAAAATTTAAGAGCTCATATTTTTCACATTCCCGAAGATGAATGATATTATTTGATTTTTTTGCGAATAATTAACCATAGCAATTAGCAATTATGACAATTTCCAATTACTCATCGAAAAACAAAATGTACCAGAGCAGGTCTTCTGGGCAAAGAGCTTGTATATGAGGGCAATAATCCCAGCAAGATGAATTGCTTCAGAGGCTATGAACAAATAGTGGTGTTCTTTGACAATAGACTTTAGAGCCGCAAAAGCACAAACAGCAAGCAATGCCCCCAAAATGATCTTCACTTTCATAGATAGATTCCTCAACCATCCAAACACAACGTTCATTGGGGAACCCCTTTTTTTTCCCATTGTATATAGCACAAATTCAATAACCAAAATATGGGTATGCTCTAATTGTTTTGTGTATGTATGTGTATTCACAGAGACACAGTTTGTTTTAGAGTGGCTTAGATGGAGTGAGTAACGGCAGAGATTAGAGAATGACAGATACTGAAGTAAGAGCCGTTTTATGGAGACACTAAAAGAGCATGCAGTGGATGTTGTCATATAATATTATTATGTGGCAATAAATTTCTTGTGTTGACCACCGACACGGAGACAGTTACGGAAAGGTGTAAAAGGCAAATAAGGACAATCCCGATGTTGGTAATGTTTTGGTAGAAAAATACTATTTATTTATTTATTAAAGCCACATCAAAGACCTGAAGATATCATGTTTGAAGGCGTTGACTTTCTTTCCTATCTTTATTTATTTATTTATTTTTTAAAGCCACATCAAATATTTTTTATTTATTGATTTTTATTCAATGAACTTCAATGATTATTCATCTAAACGAATATTCATCAAATAGTCAGTAATTCAATAAAACGACTGATATTCAAGAAAAGAATTGAGATAAAATTTGAACAGTTGATAAGATGTGATACCCGTTTAAAGAAAAAAATTTAATTTATAAAAAAATGATGTCATGTTTTATAGGTAAGAAATTTTTATGGTATCAAATATTTATTCTTCAGACTTTCCCCTACATAGGATATACTTATTATTTTCTAGGGATTGGTTTTAATGTTGCAATTTTAATTTTTGAGTAGAATTTGATTGAGGAGATTCTATTCACTTCACCAGAGAGGGAAAAGTTTAAAATGCATCACTTTTATGGTTTGAAATTTCGGGGTTGGCAGATTACAAGAGTAATGTTAATCCTTTTAACGAATCAACATAAAATTTCTGTATCAATGAAAACAAACAATATTTCATATATGAAAAATAAAAGATTTTAATATTTTCTTTAAATAATTACAAATAAAATCTGGTTCATTTATAATAATAATAATAATAATAATGGTGATCAGTAGCGGAGCCAGGCTCCAATTTGAGCCCGAGCCAAAAAATTATATGTGTATTTTTTTTTAATTTTAGTTAGTTTATATCATAATATATTTAAATTATGTTAAATACAGAGCACTTAAGCAAGCAGCACCAAGAAGAGTTATAATTTTATTAATTTTTTTTTAATTTTACTAAAAATATTTTTTTTTTTACACAAGTGAAAATTGAACATATAACCTAATACAACTTACCCAAATCTTTCACCCAAAATATATTAAGTTTTAGATAGGACTAAATTACAAATTATAGCGCGGGCCAAATTCTAATTTTAATCCGAGCCAAATTATAATTAATTATATAATTATATATAATAAATATAATTTGTTAAAATTTAGTCCGGGTCGAGGCCACACCCAAAGTATATGCGGCTCCGCCACTAATGATGATGATAATAATAATAATAATAATAATAATAATAATAATAATAATAATAGAATGTCCTTTAAGATTAATTGCAAGGTGTTACAAACGGTAGAAAAATATTTATTTACGTGAGGTCTCTTTTTTTTTTTTGGAGGTTACAAGGAATTGAACACAACACCCTACACTACACACATTCCTAACACACACACCCCACACCACTAGGCTAACCTAGTGGTGCATTTACGTGAGGTCTCTTTGGCTTCTATATAATAAGTCTTCAGTATATTCCGTGCCGATGAATATTTTTGGTTGCTAGGAATCGCAAATGCGATTCCTTGACACAGCCTCTATACTATTTATTTATTCTACAAAAAGAATTTACTTTTGCACAACATTCTTTCCATATTACGAAAATATAAATATAAATATAAAATAAAAACGGATTGCAATCCTTACAACAGGGTTGCAATTATATCCGAGATAAAGATAAAAATAAAGATCGATCTTCCGGGATATAAATGGTTGTTAAATAGAGACTGACCCTCCGGGATAAAAATGGTTGATTAAAGATCCGAGATATCAATCGGAGATAAAATGAAGATGGAAATGGCGAGATGCAATCTGAGATAAATATAAATACGACATAAAGTTGAAGACGGATCCAATCCGGGTTCGAGTAAAAGGATAGTGCATGCATCACGGCATCAAGCCCGGTTCGGAGAAAGCGGGAGGACGCTTCCGTAATCCAAACCGAACTAAAATTTAAGATAGCAGATTGAAGCGACACTGATTAAGTCATCAGGACGCATTCGAAATTGAAACTCAGGCAAAAAGCCGAGCTGAATATTATGAATCCACGGTATATGAAGCTTGGTTAGAAAATAGAAGAGAAACAAAACTACCTTCACTTAAGATTTGCAAATCAACTTGATAAAGTCACTGCAAAAGAAGCAGAGGCTCAGATATGAAGGCCACTGCCAATGAAGCAGTGCTCAGATACTAAAACATCGTGGCAAGGTAAGCTAGACTCAGAGAAGTGCATATCGTCAAGATGATTTTGATCAAAGTCAAAACCTATAAATGTCGCGACAGAGAAGTCAGGCTAAAATGGGAGGCGATATCACCACGAGATTCTGGTGAAACCCAGCCTAAAATCGATGTGACCTGGACATATGAATTCGGGTTAAAGTAAAACGAGGGAACAAATAAATGCCTTCGTAAATATGAATCCTTGTGATTCTGATGCATCAATATGTTGATCCCAGATAAAGATGCGATTTGTCATGCTGACTCTGATCAAGTCGAAATGTTCAAAAATTATGGTCCATGAACCAAACTCGAACATGTGACGATCTTGGTAATAAAACCTCGATTGCAAAATGAAGGAACAAATATTTGCCTTCGCAAATAGAAACTTTGCAAAAATGCTAAGTTAAAATAAAGAAAAGTTATGGAAATTAATACCAGACAAAGAAAAGTGCGAAATTCGTATAATATAGATTGACCTTGGCTAGGTTTGCAATAACATTTGGATAATATATTCGAGTTAATAGACACAATAAAACAAACTATCTTGGTTTGAAGATAGAACTCGAAAAATATATCCGAGTTCATAAATAGAATAAACCTATATTGGTTCATAGATAAAACTCAAAAATATATCAGAGTTCATATATAAAATAAACCTATTTTGGTTTGAAAAAATCAAAATTATACCCGAGTTAATAAAGTAAATAAGCCTAAAAATTTAGGCAAACAAAATAATATCATATAGGCCCTAACTTAAAAGGGTGGACATATTGAAATAAGATCAAAGAAATGGGGCTCGAATATTAAAATATCACAACAATCTGTGAAAGCCATAGTATGCGCAGCCAGGTTGAAACTGAAGACGATATCATTGGGAGATTCTAGCAAAGCCGAATTCAAATAAATAAAGCTAAGATATATAAAACCAGGCTAATTATAGCAAGGAAGAATTCAACTCTGCGAATAAAAGATGGAAAGAACTGAGAACAAAACCCGACAATATCAATTAAAAAATGGTCAAAGATCCCCAAATCAGCAGAAAGGGAAAAATTACAAAAGCAAACTCGATATTTCGACATACATATACTTGAATTAAAGTAATACAGCCCGATAACTGGGATTTCCAGACTGCCGAACTGGGGGGCAACAATGTAACAACACAACAATTCAAATTGAATGAGGAAAACTTCAATCCTCATAAGTCAATAAGACAATCAAAAAGACTGGTCAACCAGTCTAAGCTATATACCACGACCAAAAAGGTTGAGGAAAGAATATTGGAATAGTTTCCCCGATACCCGACTCATGAAGCCCAACACAAAAGAAAGAGTAAATTAAATAAGAAAAAATAAATCTAGAACACGGATCGACAAGAATCCATAAGACCCCGACAAAGAGATCAAAAGGAAAACTCTTCCACTCCTAATAGAGACCTCGGTCATGAGAGTTTGACCAACAAGATTATAGTTCATCACACTTCACTTCCGACACCCGAGCTACTGGGTAGGAAAGCAAAAGAGGATGTCTGAAGTAAGAATTCCACACAACATGATGGCTGAAGCTATACATCACAGATCAAAGGCTAACATCGCTTGGACCAAGAACATGGCCGACTTCCAGACATTAAGAATGATAAAATATTTCCAAATGCGATCAAAAGCAATGCACAGCGACCCAGCTATACTTATCAGATAGAACAAAAGCTCAACACAATATACACCCTAGTAGCTCGGACAACTAGACTACAGGGCTGGGGGGCAACTATTATGGACCTGATAAAGGCCCACATTCTAAAAGGGTCAAATAGGGCTAACAACTAAGAAGGAATTAAGAAAATATTCCTTAATTACACTAATCCTATAACACCTTGCATTTCTAATTTATATATTAATATAATAAACGTGGATTAAAGGGAAGAATTAGTGAAAATCCTGAAGATTAGGTTAAAATACAAAGGAAAGGTGAAACAGTAACTAGCCAAACACACAACCCTAGAAAGGTAAAATTGAGTAGGAAGTCTCAAATGATAAAAATAACCCTGGACATGGATTCAGAACGAAAAATTGAGTGGTTAGGCAAGTTTCAGAAAATTCTGTGAATAGTGTTTTTACCGGGTAAAAATACCGCGTTACGTTGCACCGTAAAGCGTGCCGATTAAGTTTTGAGCTCTAGGTTTAGAGATAAGTTATAAATGGTGTATAGAACTAGGAAATAGGATTTCTGATGAAATTTGACAGAAATTAGTAAGTTTGGGGAAGCGTGCCTACGGCGCGCGTAACAGCTTAAAACTGCATTTCTCCGAACGAGTAGAAAACTCCGGATTCATCTGATCAAGGGTAATTAAAGGACAATGGTTAATGTTAAAAATTAGAGTTTCTAAATAGGTTATAAAATTATGGACGTTTAGTGGAATCGGAGAGAAATTCGAATTAGTTTGAAATCACGTGAGGTGGCGGTGGGGCCCACCTCACTTAAGTCACTTAAGGCCACATGGCTTAATACTATTCATCATCACCAACACTTCCCTTCTCTCTCCAAAAACCCGAGTTCCCCCCTTTCCATGGCA